TTGTTTTCCACAAAACGTATTGCCAGTGTCATAAAATATTAAAACTATTTCCTCACTCATTAGCATTGCCAGTGTCATATAAAAAAGCCTTAACAGCAAATAAAAACAGAAGACCCAACTGACATCAGTCATTTCGCCAAAATGCTATATTTTCGGAAATAAAAATAAAAAGCCAGAACAATGTATGTATGTATGTATGTATGTATGTATGTATGTATGTATGTATGTATGTATGTATGTATGTATGTATGTATGTATGTATGTATGTATGTATGTATGTATGTATGTATGTATGTATGTATGCACATACGCACGCAGGCAGGTAGGTAGGTTGCTGTTGTTGGGTTTAACGCCATTTTTCAGCACACGATAGGATATTCATGGCGGCTAGTATTAATGGTGGAGGAAGAAACCGGGAAATCACCGGAAAGATCCACCGACCCACGAGAAGCTACTGGCAAGCTTTCTCACATATCCACATTTGCGGAATCCTAGACTCGAACCCACGCAGACAGAGGTGAGATGGCAGTGATCCGTAACGGACAGCGCTTCAGACCACTTGGCCACTCCGGGCCCCAGGTATTTAGGTAGGCAGGCAGACAGGTAGGTAGGCCGACAGGCAGGTGGGTAGGTAGTTAGGTACTTAAATAAAAAAAGTGACACTTATACTTATTGAAAACAATATATTTCTTTTGATAAGTGTTAAATCAATGACTTTGCAAGACAGTATGCAACAAACACATGCAAATCCTAATTCTGGGTCCTCTTTCAAATAAAAGTGGTTGTCTGATGGGAATTTTGGGCCACACTTAAACCTTTTGTTACAGATAACATTTTTAAAGCTATTAAATATGGTTTCTTCAGACAAATGGCACGTTTGACTATTCAGCATCAAGAGGCTTTTCAAGACAAGGTATTTTCTTCAGACTTTATTTATTAAATGCATTGCTACTTGGTAAGTATGTTGAAAGACAAACATGAAATTAGTCCGATAATTCAGCCAATCAAATTAGTCTGATAAACCAGCCCTCCCCCCAGTCTCTGTTGATACTGATGGTCGAAACGTGGGTCTGATTTCACCTTCCTATTAAAATGTGCAATTTTGCTGCATTTAAATCCTTCCAGGACACACATGTGACCAGTTTAGACACTGGTATTTGGTGACAACCATATCTAGCGCGAAATTAAAAATGGCCACAGGACAGTTGTGCAATTTCACGTGAATTTAAACATTGGATGTTATTCGGAAATAGTATGTACATATCGCCAAAAGAACCCTTCGGTCGACGGTAGCTCAACAGCAGCGAGCAATACCGGAGATTGTATAAAATATACACTGATGCGTCCTAACAAGAATGGCAGCATATTTTTTTTATTGGTTTTAATGGCTAATCGATATCAGCCCCTAAACCGCCCGTCAATACTATTATAAGTATAGGGCTGATTTATCGGCCTGGTAGAGAGATCGGATAGATAAACAGGCATGTTTATGTCAAAAGAGACTACTTTAACCAGAAATAAAGAGGGAAACAATATATACACATTAATATAATCAACAGCATCTCTTTGTGTGCTGTTGTATATATTTACACAAGAACAAGCGCTTTGTGAATAACTAAAGAACCGGAAATGTGTATCGATTTGTTTGTACTTTAGACCAGCATTGTCTGAGAACAGTTTTGAACTGTTAAAGTACTTATCGACACTACAAAAAATTAAACACGGTCTTACTAAATACTAATACTAAGCCTGACAAAGTCACGTAGATCCTGACAAAGCCATACAAAGCCTGACATAGTTCCTGACAAAGCCATACAAAGCCTGACAGAGTTCTTGACAAAGCCATAAAAAGCCTGACAGTCATGCAAAGTCAAAATATAACAGCGTATTTATATCGTAAATTATATTGAATAAATCAACCAATTTTGAAAGACTAGTTTTCAACATAATTATGCAGAATTCAATGACCGAACGTGAATGAATTTGAACAATGATAAATTAAGAACAAAATCTTAATTATTATATAAATATTAATTTGACTGATTATGGGATGAATGTGCATTTTTGTACAATATATTGCACACAAAGTCAGACAAAATCATATTAAAAATATATATTTATCTTTTGCAATAGCAGTTTGAAGAATAAATAAACCGAGCCGACAGACTTTGGTTAAACATATGCCCTATTAATTGACCGCGATTAGGGAGATATATTCCGAAGTCAGACAAAGACATATTTGAAATGTTTGTTTTTTTTTTATTATTTTAAAATGTGTTAATTAGATAAACACATTACCAATATATGTTGACAAACTCAGCAAACCTGTCGATGTTTGAAAAAGCAGAAGTTAGGCGTACAAAGCATGACAAAGTCATACAAAGTGATAAAAAATTGTGTAGTTCTTCAACAATATATTCGTCTCTACATACAGCAATTGACAACCCATTACAGAAATAGGTGCGCTCACGCGTCGTCAGAATTGGTTGAATGTCTAAGTCAACATCAGAAAATTCCAAGTACGTGTGAGAGTTGAAGTTAATGCATAAGTTTGATATATTGAAAAATATTCTGCTCATACTTGCACTTTCATTTGGTAAGGGTGTTTTTTTTTATCTCTCTCTTTTTTGTCATGGTCTTCAGGTGGTCTACACCGTTTACGGCAGCCTACAAAATGGTTCTTCCTGTTATGCCAGAATAACGTGGAGTATTCATCCAAATAGAGCCAAAAAGTAAATCACTACCTAAAGTGAAGTTTTAGTGCCTATAACCATATTTGTCAAAATATTCATGCCATCACGAATCCTAACCTAAATAAAAAAAAGAGCGAAAACTAACTAGTTTTGTAAAATTCAACAAAGCATTTATTTCTATACAGTACAAAGTGAAATTGTAAAAATAACGGTATTGCGAATTAAATCCCAAATAACATTTGAATTTCAAGCAAATATTCTAGTTCTGAATAAACTTTAGTGGTATTCAAAATAATTTCCAACGGTGAAGGCGCTGATACGACTGTAATGACATGTAGTCTTTACTGTACTAATGTACAAGTAACCTGAATAGTAATGATGTGCCAACAGTCTTCTGTTGAATCACAGTAATATACTACAATTTATCCTTGCCTGAATTCATTATAATTTCAATTAAATGTCTCTGTATATGAATATTATGGAGCACTTGATATTTCCAGAGAAAGATAATTTTAAATAAATATTTTAAAATATATATAGCAATGCATACACAGGGGCCCCGAGTATCCAAGTGGTCTAAAGCGCTGTTTTTTACGGATCACTACCATTTCACCTCTGTTTGCGTGGGTTCGAGTCAAGGATTTGGCGAATGTAGATATGAGAGAAAGATTGCCAGTAGCTTCTCGTGGGTTGGTGGTTCTTTCCGGTGATTTCCCGGTTTCTTCCTCCACCAATAATACCGGCCGCCATGTATCGTGTGCTGAAAAATGGCGATAAGACCCACAACAACCACAACAACAACAATGCATACACATAAGTGTCTCAAAGTACCATAAGTCGTTTTAAAACTTGTTTCTGCTCTAATGCACTGAAATTTAACTTATGGAAAACACAATTGGGAGTGCAATAGAGATAAAGTGAACAAACGATAATCGCAGATTAATAAACTTATATACTGCATAATCAACATTTTGAAACTGTCCTTATTCTGTAGCGATGTAAACTGAGTTAAAGATAACGCGTGTCTACTCAGCCACTTATAATTGTAATACCTGTTATGTAATTGCCCCTCTTTGCCCTGTCTTTGTCCTGTAATTTCCTCTATTTGCCCTGTCTTTGTTATGTAATTGCCCCTCTTTGCCCTGTCTTTGTCATGTAATTGCCCCTCTTCGCACTGTCTTTGTTATGTAGTTCCCCCTCTTTGCCCTGTCTTTGTCATGTAATTTCCTCTATTTGCCCTGTCTTTGTCATGTAATTGCCCCTCTTTGCCCTGTCTTTGTCATGTAATTGCCCCTCTTTGCCCTGTCTTTGTTATGTAATCGCAACTCTTTGCCCTGTCTTTGTTATGTAATTGCAACTCTTTGCCCTGTCTTTGTCATGTAATTGCCCCTCTTTGCCCTGTCTTTGTCATGTAGTTGCCCCTCTTTCCACTGTATTTGTCATGTAGTTGCCCCTCTTTGCACTTTCTTCGCTTCTATTTGGTCTTCTTTGCGCAACTTCGCCTGTCTTTTGTGCGTCTTTGTCGTGTTTAATAGAACTGAAATCAACTGATACGTCTTGGGGATGAAACTTATTGTGGGCAAAACGAAACAATAATTAGAGCAAGTTACCGCAAAAACGTGTGTACTGTAGTATGCCAAATGACATCACATCTTTGATATTATATGGAAAAATATTAATTATCTTCAGATAAAAGAGTAGTAAATATTTCAGCCTCACCCCAAAAATCAAATGGCAAACACCATTATGTAAATTAGTTTGCTATGGCCATGTTAACTGTTTTATTAGGAGAAAATAATAAGCACAAAAACACTTTGCAAACGAGAGAGAGAGAGAGAGAGAGAGAGAGAGAGAGAGAGAGAGAGAGAGAGAGAGAGAGAGAGAGAGAGAGAGAGAGATGTAATTAGACGGCAAGAGATAGCTATACAATTATGAGACAAGAGTATATTATTCCCATCTTCAATTATTCATGTCACATGGGACGACCAGTACCTTAAATTGTTAGCTGTCTAGGTACTCATTTTCAGTTAAGCTATTCACTCTATACATAATCGTATGCTGCCCCACTCTGTGATTATGATTTTTAATGTAGCTTTAACAATTGTTCAGTCATATCGTTACGATATCTGCAGTGTGGCAGTTAATTTATAGTGATTTCGAGCAGAGGCACCATGTCGCAGACATGTAGCATGATGTACCACCCAGTCACATTATCCTGACACCAGGCCGACCAGTCCTAACACTAATCTCCTAATGCTGAGCGCTAAGCGAGACAGCTGTTTGAACCGTTTTTGTGAGTCTTTGGTATGACTCAACTGGGGATCGAACCCACGACCTCCCGCATTTGTGGCGGACGCTCTAACCACTAGACCATCGGAGCGATCCTATAGCCGTGAAGATTGAATTTTAATGGCTTTGGAATCCAGTGCTTTTTTAACATAAAGAACAGAGGCCTAGAAAAGTCATTTTCTAGTGATAAATGTCATTTTCTACCTCCCAACATGTTCACTTTATCTCTTTTCTATTTTATTTGCACATTCTTGAAAATTGTACAAAATGACAAGATTAGAAATGGAACAAATGACAAAACAAAGGAGGATGGACTATTATATTTTCCGACTTTGAATATTTCTGTTCTCCACGTGCATATGTATGTGCTTGAACAATGTCAAACAACTCCTCATTCACTATTATATAGACACTTCGAGCATCTAGGTATGTTTGGCAGTAGTCTGTATACATGCATAAAGTTGTCAAATTTTGTGTAGGGCTAGGAGGATGACGATCGTTTTTCATAATGGCCGCAAGAGACTCTAAAGTATAAAGAACATTTGATAAATATTTTTTTTTCTATTGACGAGCTCAATTTTCTTCTATGAGTATTTCGAGAGATGGAGCAGATCTATGATGTCATCCATAGAATTAATACATTTGGAGTCGCGGATCAAATGCAGGTTAAATTAGTGGACAATGTAAGGGGCGATGCTACATGAATGTATAACTGTTGGGTCGAGTAAACGTCAGCAAGATAACAAAGGAGAACAGCGTGTAAACAAGTTAAATTCTTCTGAATTTTTCTTTCTGCCTTATAATGGAAGTTCATGCAATTTTTGCGAAGATTTTTGTAAATGTCTATGCAATGTTCTCTTCTCCCCAACTGTTATGAGAATTTTTTTTTCATAAAAGTCTTAGCAATGTTCTATGTTCTATGCAATGGAGAGAGAGAGAGAGAGAGAGAGAGAGAGAGAGAGAGAGAGAGAGAGAGAGAGAGAGAGAGAGAGAGAGAGAGAGAGAGAGAGAGAGAGAGAGAGAGAGAGAGAGAGATTCAGGCTCTTTTGAAGATAAAGCTTGGTGTCACTCAAAACCGTGTAGACATGGCTACATTTCTGCTTTGGGGGAATTTCGCAGTAAGAGAGGCAGGGACCACTGTAAGAAAAGAGAAGAGTGTGTCTTCTGATCCCGGGACGGACTCTGTAATGAAGAGAGAGAAGTCTCATTCTGACTCTGGGACAGAGTGATTTTATTTAGATATATAGATATATAATGCTACATTCAAGCGATACATGTTATAAAGCCTTTATATTTAAAATACATGAAGTACATAAAAAGGTATACTTTCTACACTGAACTTACCAACTTCATATATTTGTATAATTTCAGCCTTTTAAAATATATAGATAATTGAATATCGAATAATTCAAAAAGCATAATTTCAATGCAACAGCCATTTAAAAGAAATATATAGATTATTAATTTGGAATAAGTTACTAAAGCATTGTTCTCTATCGCTCAAGGAATCTCCAATTTCCAGATAAAATCTAAAAATGAAGTTGGTATCAATTTAGTCTTTCTCATAATACATACATGAATACAAATGAACATAAGTTATATTGAAACAAATAAACATTCATTACATTATAATGTGAATTTATTTTCCAATGTGAGAGGGATTACATTCATAATGCTTTTTACTAAAAATTGTATCATTATACAATAATAAAAACTAGGCTTGGAACAACGTAATTGGCACTGCTGTGTATACACTAGAGGTAAAAGGTGACAACTATTACGTCGATTTGTATGATTTTAAGATTGACATTAAAAGATCTGATCAGAGATATAAATCGTAGCATTTTGACATTGTTACAATTTATAAATGTTATTTATTTAGCGATATTTTTTTCAATCTAAGAAACATTCGAATGACTTATGTAAAAGAAGGCTTGTTGGACGTAGGAAAACAATAAAGGGGCTAAATTTAAGGTGAATAAACAGGTAAATTGTTTTACTAAAAAAAAAACGTATGTGTTACACAATAGAATACTGATTACTTTGAATTTTATTTTGCATATGAGACTGTGAGGCACTGAATTACTAGAAATTTAATGTAAAAACCGAAGGGACGATACTTCTTAAGTTTGAGGAATGTAATAATTGTAATATTCAGTTAAATCACTGGAACGAAGCGGTCTTAAATGTACAACAAGACAAAGAACATACACATTTTTAGGTCTATATGTGTAGCAGTATTCAAAGTATATTCAGTTTATTTCTAGCTGACCTATTCTTTAGGGAACTATTAAAGCTAAGTTGCTGTACATCATTTCATTGATTCTTTTAATTTCTTTCGTAACCTGGCCATTCCTTGGGGTGACAATGATGACTTTGTAACAGTCTATCTTCATTTTGTCTTCTTCTCCACTTCTCTTTGGGAGTTTACAAAGTCCATGCCTCTCCAGTCTCTGATATTATCTTCCCACCTCTTCTTATGTCTGCCTTGTTTTCTAGTTCTTCTCACTGTGCCATGTAGGATTGTCTTTGACAGTCCAGCTGAGCGTGAGACGTAACTATACTATCTTAGTCCGAGTTTATTCTTAGTCTGGTAAGCAGATCTTCATATGATCCAATTGTACCTTGGATTCTAGTACGCACCTCCACATTAAAAACGTGGTCTAAGTATGAGATTTCCAGGATCCTTTGATAACATCTCATCTCTAAGGCATGGATTCTTCCGTCTAGTTCTGCTGTTAAATCCCATGGCTCACATGCATACGGGAATATGGACATTACAAAAGAGCGTGTAGGTTTGATCTTTGACCCAGTCATGATGTTGATATGCTTCCATCCTAGCTAGAGCAGTTCATGAATGCGCAATCCTGGTAGAAAACTCAGGTTTAAAGCATCATCGCAGGCGATAACACTTAAGTACTTGAAAATTGTCAACGTGAACAGCTTCTGTTCGATTACTGTTATTTTCTTTTGGATACCATTCGTATTATTTGTCATTAGCTTGATCATCTGGCGGCAAGCCATCGATATCATCAGCGAAGCACAGGAGGTGATTGGTCTGCTTCCATCACTGACACTACCTTCATGATCTTCCTCGGCAACGTTCATAATCATTTCCAGGTAGATGACGAAGAGAGTGCTGAGAAAAGGCTCTCCTAACTTATTCCGACTGTGGTTCCAAACAAGTCTCCAATGTTGCCATTGACGAGAACTGCATTAGTCGCCTTGTTATGCAGGTTTTTCATGGCGATGATTAATCTTGCATCAATGATGGCCCACAAGGCTAAAAAACATATCTTGTAGAGAGACTTTCCGAAGTCAATAAAGACATGATAGAGGTCACGTTGAGGCCGAAGATATTTGTTTAAAGAAGATTTTAAGATTGAAATTTTGTTCTGTCATCAACAGCAAGTGATGGTCGCTTCTTTTATTAGCTTCTGGAAAGCTACATGTTCTGGCAACGCTAGACATGACCTACTTCCTCACCAAGATGTAGTCACTCTGATTGTGATGTCTTCCGTGCGGGCCGTGCGAAGTCCATCTATTAGAATTTGTGTGGTCTAAGGGTGTTCGTTAGCACTAGGTTATTGTAGGTGTCGAAGTCTAGGAGATTGAGACCTCTCTCATTGGTCTGTTTATTACAATATGGACCACAAACGTCTTGCCAGTCTGCCTGAGCGTCTTTTCCTACTTTGGCATTCAAATCTCCTTGAATGACAAGAATATCCATCTAGGGTATCTGGTTTATGAGGCATTGAAACTGGTTTTATCCATGTGGCCTTTGAGATCATCTTAGAACCTTTCACCCTTTCCGTTCGCTAAGATTTTGCGCTGTGATGCCATGTGACCATCACCCTATTCCTCACATAGTCAGGAAGTCTTGTGGATGATGGAGTGTCTTAAACCTTTCCTTGTAACTTTCATCTTGCCCACTGCCTGTACAGTCCTATGAAGGTCTTAGTGCTGAGGTTATTGCACATATTAACGACTAACGAGTAATCGTTAACTTTCACCGTGTTGTGATACCTTTGAATTATAGTATTAATCCGCGTATGTATTGACCACCAATTAGGTTTTTGTTATTATATGTAGTTAAGCTATCGGCTCGGCTCTAAACTTTTCTTTGTCACCTCATCTGAGAATAAAAACGCTGACAACAGCTACAGAGGTAACAAACCCCCAGAGAATGGTTAATATAAATTGTTAGTATCTATGTTTGTTGGTCACGTGAAAATACCAAAATATTTTCATTGGAGAATGACTATACACCATATGACAGATTGTGCTGGTTTACTGGCCTTCGTCAACCATTGTTTATATCGCCAAGTCTACTCTGAAATTCTGGGACTGAAAACAGCCATGTTCAAGAGTTTTCCTGGAAGAAAAGGTATTCTACCCTCTTCAGTCTCTTTCGATGACAATATTGTAAAACGTTTATGGTGGAACAACGTCTTGTTTATGAAAAGAGATCTTGTCAGGAGCATTACAGTCGATAAATTTGTAATGTATTTGTCTGCTTCTACCGCCCTCCTCCTAGTAGAAAAAACAAGCTGACAGAATCTCTCTTTTTGGAGCAGTTTCCAAATCTCCTGGAGTATGGAAATTCTATAGATGGCAACCTAATTATTCTTGGTGATTTCAACATTTTCTGTGACAGTCCTGAAAATCCATGCACATCAAATCTCATAAATCTCACGTTTTCAACCTCAAACAGTCAGTTAGCCAACCCACCCATAAACATGGTCACATTTTAGATTGAATTCTTTACAGACCTGATGATAATATTCTTCAATCCTCCCTGGTGTCCTGAGAACTTTCATCAGATCACCTCTGCAGTATATGCCATCTTGACGTATCAGTCTCTAATCCTCCAACTTTATTTGCTACCAAGAGAAACCTCCGTGTGATAAACAGAACCAAACTGATGCACGACATTCAAGCAAACCTAAAAACTAGCTTACCTACTACAGCAGAACAACTTGATAACTGCCTGCGTTCATTGCTCGACAACCATACCCTAGCAACCAAGTGCAAAGTAGCAATTCAGAAGTGTTATCCGTGTTATAGCAGTGTTAGGGACCAGCTTCGCAC